TTATATAAAACGATTTGACTAATTTTCATACAAAAATTTAAGTAAGCAAAAAAAAAAACAAATTATCACTCCGCAAACACACACTATACTTTATCTAGCATACTACTTTGCATTAGAACATGATTTCAAAATTCGATTATTTCATTAACAAAAAATCCACTTGCAACACCAACACAACACGCAGAACAGCTGAAATTCAGTGAGCAACAGTAAACCAGTAATTTCTGCAATCGATACTTTGGCCATAGACAAACAAAACCATACAAAAAGAAAACAACAAACTTAGAATGAATTGTTTTTAGTTTTCATTTATTTTTAACACATTGCTTGTTGTTGTCATTGTTGCGCGCTGTTCTTGACTTGGCTTGACTGCTTTGTCGCTGCGCTCGCTGGTTTAGTGGTCAGTTAAGTTCCCAAAGTCGCGCCACCAACAGAACAAAATCGCAATAACAACGGCTACAAAAATAACAACAACAAAGACAGTAAACAGCGGCAGCCACAACATAGCAGTCAAGCACGAATCCACCTGCAACCGCAGCAATGCCATCAACTGTTTACCAACAGCTTAAGTAGAACCACGCAATGCCAAACAAATACTAATGCACGTGACAACAATAAAAAATACGCGCGCATACTCATAGCCAAAGCAAACACGCACACTAATGTAAATGCAAATAAGAATTTATATAAACAAAAGCCACAACACACACATATATATATATATATGCATATGTTTGCAGTTGTGGTTGATGGAAATAAGAACAAAGGCGGTAGCGGCAATGACGGGCATTGCAGCAGACGTAGGGTAAATGGGAGGGGAGTGGCTGCGTTGATATCACACCTTCAACGACAAGTAATGTTATTGTTGTTGTTGCAATTAGTTTCGCAAACATGAGAAAAAAAACCTAAAATGCATTTGCTAATGTTGCCACAATATTAACTGGCATTGCTGTTGTTGTTGTATTGCTTGCCTTGCGCCACTAGCCGCTATTATACAATAATATATATAAATATATACATATGTATGTATGTAACTCCGTGTAAGTATTAATTTTCAATATTATGACTATATTTTGTTGTTGTTGTTACTTTATTTACCCGCTATTTATTTCTTGTACATTTTTTTTTTTTTATTTTCTTACTTTTCGCACTTCACGTTGCACCAATTTCCGTTTGCCACTTTTCAAACGCTTATTGTTGTTGTAGTTGTTGCTCGTATTTATTATGCGTTATTTTCACACTTTACTAACAGTTTTTTTTCGTTGGCTGTATTTATTTTGTTGTTGCACTTAAGCACCTACTAGCTGTTTTTGTTGTTTTCTTTTCGTTAGCCACACGCAGTGTTTGGCTTTTATTTAACCGCTTTAAATTTCGACTTTATTCAACCGTTATTGTTGTTTTTGTTGCTCTTGCAAAGTAGCTAATTTCCCAACTCTTATTTGTTGCTTAACTGCTTGTGCTGCTGTTAACACGACGAAGCACGAATTGCGACTGAAGTCTCAACGAATAGTTGCTTGTGATTTTATTAACTAAAATGCTCGGCGCAGAGTTGCCATGTTGCGTTCTGGTGAAGTTGAAATTCATGTTACGTATACGCAACAACATGTGCTGGCTTGTGTGAGGTCGGAAAGCGAAGGCATGCATGAGCGCTTGTTGGCTGTTGACTTTTAGCAGGGTGTGTAGCTAGTTGCTGAGCGTGAGTGTGCTTAATGGGTGGTGGTAAATGTTTGCTGAGAGCGGCGCCTAAAGTGACTGATGTTTGACTGGTTACAAACGGATGTAACCTTAAAAAATATAGTTCAATGGAGCTGGTAGTCTGAAACGGCTTAGTTAAGATGAGAGATAAGACGTAAATTTTTCTTTTTTCGTTCCATTCACTAATTTATTCGCTGTTGCCAATGCGCAAAGAACAATGAATCTCCCACAGAACCTTTCTCTCAAAAACTCGTAACGACCATCCATAAGGTAAGGCATGGACGATACCTCTGCACCATAAAGCAGGTCGGGAATAATAAGTGACTTATAGAGTTTGGTCTTTGTTCGTCAAGAGAGGGTTTTACTTCTCAATTGCCTACTCAGTCCGAAGTAGCAGCTGTTGGCAAAAGTTATTCGGCGTTGAATTTCCATACTGACATTGTTATTGGTGTTAATGCTACGCTTCCAAGATAGATGAAATTATCTACAACTCCAAAGTTATGTCTGTCAACAGTGACGTTGGAGTGTGAAGATGGGAGTGGTTCGTGGCTGCCCGCAGAGTTCCAGGTGTGGTTGAAATATTAGGAATTTATGATATCCCCTCTGCTTGGGCGCAGTGATTGGGGTCTCGGACGTTGTGCTGTTCGCACCATTTATGCTGTCTTGTTCATGGCCTGTGCCACTTATGGATCCGTTGTATGTTGGGAAGCAGCTGCGACAGTCCCCTCTTGATATGCAGGTTTTGTTGGGTGCACACCCTCTTGATTTGATTGTCATACAGCGTGAATTGTTTAGGCAGTGCGGTTTAATTGAGAATTAGGGTTAGATTCTTGTATGAATGGTGTGTGCGTGTAATGTGAACTGGTAGAGTCCAGTAATCACTAGTCCAGAGCAGTATGGTAGCTCAACTGGTAATAGTTTTGCCAACGAGGTCTGACCGGAGACTTAATTCTGGTACCACGGGGAGCAGGAGCCCTTGGAGTTCGCTCCAACCTGCTCATGTTAACCGCCCCCTTAGGGAGTATCGTGGTGGCTGTGGTTAAAACCCTTTCTCGCATGCGAGATACTTTGTCATTTAAATATGCCGTTGTGTTGCAACCAGACCCAAAGTACGACAGAGGTTTTAGATGTGCCTCGATTCCTAACAGTTAGGTTGTATGTCCATTCTACACTGCCAATTGGTACGGGTAATTCGCGATGCTTTTGAGCGCGGTGGGATACGACAGTCATCTCGAGTGCGATGACTGTTTGTTTGATAACGGGAGATATTTAGTCTTGCCTCGTTCACTACCAGACTCATTTACTATGCTTCGATAGGGAGCCGGCTTGCCTGAAACATCGTTTGGCATCGAATGGATCAGAGAGGCCCTTCCCGATCCTGACAGAGTTTTGGAGGATACCAAATTCAGACATCGCGGCATAAAGGCAGCTTCTTTTCGTCAAAAGCAGCTTTAAAATAGGCAAAGAAGTGGTGTGTGTCAAACAATTTTCATCGGTCTTTTTCACGATTTGGTAAATATCTTGTCAGTGGTTGATTTCCCAGGCCTGACCACACACTGATAAGTTCTACATTATGTACAGTAAAGTGAAAGAATCTGATGGAATATACTAAATTATGTAGCATAGAAGGTTGGCACAGTTGTATTCGATTTCAATTTTCGCACTGTAAGATAAGAACAACAGGATTATAACTATCACGCACCGAATTTGATTAAAATTGATTAAGTAGTAGTAGATGGCGCCACTTCCCTTGTCCAATTTTGAAACCAATCCCAATTGAGCTATTTTGTGTCATCTTTACTGTAAAATTGTTATATAACATATATCTAACTCCGTTAGGTGAACAAACTATTATAGTCTGTGACAACATTTTCTGATAGTAAAAAACGCAACAACAGACATATATATACAAATGTTTACATTAAATACGACAACATTTATGGTGAACAAAAAATTTGTGTTAAAAACCTTCTGTCTAAAACCAAAGGCAGTGACCTACAAATCTATGAAAATACAGTTCAAACCAGTTCTGCCAATTAAAACGCAATGAAGGCTATTACAATTACAATTTTCACAATGTACATATATGTATTATATATACATATGTTTATAATACACGACTGCTGGCAGAAATGCATTTTTGCGTTAGATTCTTAAATAAGTGGCGTATTTTATTTATTACTTTTATATATATATATATTTTTTTTTCATTTATTTTTTTAATATTTTTTTTATTATTTTTTTACAAAGAAATTTACATATTTTTATTTTTTAATCCGTTCGATTTAAATCTCGTTATGATTACTAAGTAAATCACAATCACCGCAATTCAAAGTCATGGTCAAGGTTGTCGCTGATGCCCAATAACACAGAAACCCAAAAAGTACAAAAGCCTACATTCAAATGGATTTTATATAATATATAAATATATCAGCACAAGTATTGATAAACATGTAAAAGCAGCTAAACAATTATATTTCTTTAAGCAGCTGATTTGAATATTAATCGTTTGCTAGAAGTACTTGTTTTAAACAGCAATCCGACGCGTTGAATCGAACTATTACGCAGTGATTTGGTGATTGTCATGAAAAGGTAAGAAGTTCAGCGAGAGTTTCGAAATGTTTTTAAGATATTTAATCTGTAATTTATGTAAAATCAAACTCACATGAATAAAAAGATCATAAATGCAACACTGTGGCTATGAGCCACCAAATACGGGACCTTACAAGTCTCATTTAATGATTGAGGATCGTCTTTAGTCCTGACATCTTTCTTTGATCTGTTTCGCCACTATGAACACACTTCTAAAGATTTGGAAACTGGTGAAGCTGGTGTTTAATTTTTTATGGTTTAGATATATTAATTTCCCTTCACTACACGCATTTTTCATATCGGTATCGTCTCATATCATTCCTTGTATTTTATTTATAAACTAAGCCGAAGGCCCTGGCAGCCAGTGCTTTAGCTCACAAGTGAGGTAATTATTTATAATTGTTTCTCTTTTAWATAAATAAAAATAAAAAAATAAAAATATTTATAAGCTAGAGCGTGGCCGTCTCTCCTAGGTAAAGTGTGTTTCCGAAAGCAGACTAAATAGTTCTCCAATTTCATCGGTAAGTTTACATGGCAGCCATGTGATATACAAGTATAAGTACGATCTGAAGAATATCTTGTTAAATGAAAAGAATTCCAACAATAACTTAATTTAGATTGGCCAGTTTGTCCGGTAGCTATCCTTTGTTTTATGGCAGACCCATCTGTTTTACTTGTTTAAAAGATTCTTGCAATTTCAAGCGCATGAGTCAATTATTTCGAGCCTACGCAAAGGTAATGCAGGCTGCTCACGGTTCAACCTCTATCCCCATTCCTCAGATATCCCAATGAAGTAGGATGACAGTAATCTACGCTTCCGAAAAATGCTCTCCACGGTGCACGGTCCAAAAGCATGTCGAACGACCACCACGCCAGTATACCGGTGCCCTCTACGGCTGCATAACGCTTTCTTTTCTTAGACAAATGCATTTTTCCGAAAAGGAAGAAGTCGCACGGCGCCATATCAGGTGAATACGGGGAGAGGTTAATGGTTAAAATGAGATTTTTGGTCAAATAATCGGTCACAAACGTCGATCGATGATACGGCGCATTATCGTGCAGCAAACGCCAACTTTCATCTTCGCGATATTCGAGCAAACACCTTTCGTAAGCCCAAATGTTCAGTCAAAATGCGATAAATCGATGTTTTAAAGGTTTCCAATACCATTTCCATGAATTTCAATGTTGATTTTGGCTGATTTTTGATGAATTCACGCACAGTTTCGATCGAATTTCCGGTGATCACGGATTTTGATTGACCCACATGTTGATCGCCATTTATGTCTTCACGACCACTTTGAAAACGTTGAAACATCTCGTGCACTTTGCTACGGATTAGGCAATCATCGCCGTAACTTGTTTCATCAATTGAAATGTTTCGGTAAAAGCTTTACCAATTTTAAAACAAAATTTAATATTGATTCTTTGTTCGAAGCTAGTTTTCGCACCGATAACACAAACATACTGACAATGAAATAAATTCACTTCCAATCAATGAAATGTCATGAAATTCTCACTGGACAATCGATAAAGATAGTAGATTCTAACGCACCAGTCGACATATAGATGGCGCACCCAGGGCGCTAGATTCAAAGAGTGCTGTTTACTTTGGAACGCACCTGGTATGTCGTTATCTTAACTTGAAAGCGTACAAAATATAGCTTGAGCTATAACTGAAACCACTCGCTCTTCCCAAGCCACATCTCTTTGCTATATCGGATCTTGCAAAATTCCAAGGAGATCCGACGTTTTCTAGAAAAAAAATTTTGTTCAGCGATGAGATCCATTTCCGGTTCAATGGGTATTTATAAAAGCAAAATTGCCGCATTGAGTACGAAGGGCAACCTGAGAAGCTTCAATAGCTACCATTATATCCAGAAAAAACTACGATTTGGTGGTTTGTGGGCCAGAGGAATCATCGGACCATATTTCTTCAAATATGATACCGGTGAAAACGTAACCGTCCATGGCGATCATTATGGCGCCATTATAACCGATTATTTGATGCCTGAAGTTGAAGCTTGTGATCTCGGCGACATTTGGTTTCAACACATTTCGCATCAAACAATGGATTTATTAAAAGAATACTTCGGGTAGCAGATAATTTCACGTTTTGGGCCGGTCGATTGGCCACCAAGATCGTGTAATATCATACCGTTAGACTTTTTCCTGTGGGGATATGTAAAATCT